TCTTTTCCACAACACTGATCTTCTTAGGAAAGTCTGTGAATAGCGGCATCTCATCGTAGTTATTGTAAGCTTCAACATTGTCCACGCCATCAACTCCAATAATGTGTTGTTTCCCGGAGGCAACCACGTGCTTTGTCTTCTTCTTCGGGAGGAGGTTACTTTGTGGGTCAGACATATAGAAAACTTGTGCGACACGTGAAGCGAGCACCCAAGGGTCATCTTGGTAGCCTAGATTCTTGAGGTCCAGGACTCTCAATCCGATCTCGTTCAGTTGGTGTTGTTTGATCCAGCGGCATCGAAACAGGGCCACCGTTATATCCCTTCCATAGTCAAGTTCCCATATCTCTTCAATGTGCCTCTATTCGAACGCCGCTGTTTTGGTTCACATATTTACTATCCTTTGCGTGGGTATAGTACGTATACCCATTGATGTCATAAGCATTCCAAGATGTCACTTGTCTCGATGGCCCCTCTGCTAACCTACTGATGGTAATAGAGTCTATGGTTTCTTCAGGCAGTATGTTTTGGTCCTTCAACCATGTAGTTAGTCATTGCTTGTGTTGTTTCATGACCCAATCATCCGAACGGCTATTTCTCTCCGCTATAATGATAGCCAAGTGTTCATCAATGTACGGTTGCATCAGTTGTGTACTCTGCAAGACACTGTAATGCGCCCGACTCACCTCTTTGTAATCATGGTCGATGAACACTTTTCTACCACTGGTGCCCTTCCCAGCCAGCCTACCCTTGTGACGAGAATCGAGTTTATCAATCCCTTTCCGTACTTTTAGGTACTCTTGACAGCACTCGACGACTTCTTCAGTACTGTAACCCTCTATCATGGAGCCCTCTGGGTATGCTCGATTATGCACGTATCCACTTAGAACCGACATGAACCGCTCGTAGGACCACATTTCATGCAAGTAGCAAGGGCCCAGCGCTTGTATCTGATGAACCAAGTGAATCATGAGATGTGGCATTATATCAAAAAAAAGCAGGAGGTAAACACATCTTCAGTTGATTTTGTGTCTCCACCACAAATTCATGTAGGTCACTCAGCTCTTGCTTGCCAATCATCTTCTGTGAGATCTTCAAAAAGAAGTAGCAAATGCGGGTGATGGCCATTTTCATGAACTCTGGCTTTATAGCCCTGATTGCAATAGGTAGAAACACTGTCAGCATCACATGGCAATCGTGAGCCTTGTAGTGTGTTAATGACAAGTCCTTCATCGACACTAGCTTCTTCACATTTGCTGAAAACCCAGTCGGGACTTTGATCCCCCTTAGGAAAGTGCATATAGCACTCTTCTCGTTTGGTGTTAGGTTGAAGCACGCCGCGGGCAGAGTGTATTTTCCATTAGCCTCAGGTACCAGGTGAAGCTGTGGTATCACGTTTAGCTGCACCATGTCTTTCCGTGCTTTCAGACCATCCTTTGACTTGCCTGTGTCCATCAAGGTAGCAATGATACTCTTAAAGACATTCTTCTGCACGTGCATAGCATCAATGGCATGGGGGACCTCCAAGTCTGGCCAATAAGGCAGATACTGAAAGAAGATCGATTGTTTCTTGAAAGGTACTCCTTCGACAGGAGGTGTGCTTCTATCTCTGTTCGTCCCATCCGAATTCTTCTTTCCATAGACGACGCATATGTTTTTTATCATTTTGTACACGTGTTCTCCGTTATGACGTCTCTCCGGAGGGGGTTCAATATCCGGGGCGTTGTCATAAAATCTAAAGAACAATTTGCTGCGGTACTTGTGACTTGTCTTTAAGAAGCGTCGGTTCCTTAGGTAAACTATCTTCTTGGATGCATCCAGGTACACCCATGTAGTACCATCCAAGCAAACCAAGCATTACGTCTTTCTTTTGATCTGTCCAGACAAAGCAAACAGCGCGGGGTAATCATTGGTAGTAACAAATATTATTGCTCTACGTATGAAGTCCTCCATTCAGAACGCATCGTACATCTACTCTCCATGCTTCCATAGCCTCTCCATTTCTTGCATCAAAGGTTCGAGGAACACGTCTATATCAATGCCTGGTTGTTTAGGGCCAGAAATAAGAATAGTGAGGAGAAGGCACTTTCTCTTCTGACACAACCATGTTGGGATGTTGTACATGGTCAAGATCACTGTCCATGTGCTGTGGTCGCTCATCCTCTCATTGAAGGGATTCATTCCATCGGTGCTCAACCCAAACCGTACATTCCTTGGGACATCGCTGAATACTTTGTGCTTCTCATCAAACCTTTGCCACCGACTACAATCAGCCGGGTGTGCAATCTTATCATCATCCACCTTGCGCTCATCATCACACCATGTCATGAGTGTGGCTTCTTTAGGGTTTAGGAAGATACGCCTCAAGCGGTCGGTCACTGGCAGGTACCACATTACCAAGGCAGGAATTCTTCTCTGCTTTGCATCGTTGCCTAATGGAGTGTCCTCTAGGGGCTGAGATTCTTGTACCACCTTTTTTGTACCCTTCTTATTCCTCTTTTTCCCCGTGGAGGCTTTGTCCCCACCGTAAAGGTCATTGTTCTTGTATCGGCTGGCCCCACATTGGGGACATTTATCCAGTGACTTGAACGTTTCGCCAAGAAAAAGTATACAGTGGTTGGGGCATGCATGGATTTTTTCAACCCCCATTGTCAATGGACTTATGACCTTCTTCGCTTGGTATGTGTTGGCGGGAACTGAGTTTGGTTGTGGCAGCACCCATGATAGGAGATGCAATAGATCATTGAAACTACAGTCTGACCAGCCGTACTTAGCCTTCTGGATGAGCAGCTCAAGCACAAAACGTAGCAATGTCCAATGTATTAGACAGCCCTTTTCAACACCATACACAGTCTCCTTCGATGCTTTTGTCACCCTTTCCAAATTTTCTAGACCTTTCGAACTATTTAGTAAAATCTCTGGTCCAAGGGCTCGAATCATGTCCTCCAAATCATCTTCATCCCCGACACGTGCTCCACCATCATTATTGGCACCACCTTCGTCGTTACCATCCCAACCACCAACATCACCACCTTGTTCATTGCCAAACTCAAAATCCATTCGTGCATCAAGCTCTGCTGAATATTGGGACAGGGATTCTATGGTTTCGTCGTCGTATTCCTCCTCATCCTCGTCGTTAACAATAACTGTTTCACCATAATGAATCCACACTGTGTAGTCCTCAACAAATCCTCGCGTAATCAAATATGATCTGATGATAGTCACATCTGTCCATGCCATACGGTTCTTGCAATCTTTACATGGGCAAATAATTGTATCCTTATTCTCTTTCAATGTCGTTGCATGCTTCTTTGCGGCTTCAATAAATTTATCCACCTCTTCACGAAAACCTGTCTTGAACCTTAACGAACCATACATCCAAGAGTTTCTATACTCCATCTTTTACAACAAAAACAAAACAAACATTAAAGGACTACTTATTCAGATATATATAAAAATGAAACAAATTAATAATTACTTGAGAATAATTGTATATACTTCAGATATATATGAATATAAATCTAATATAATTACATGAAGCATACAAACACACCATGGTAGAGGAAAATTAATTAATGGCCCATTTATCCATAAATAATTAAAATACATATCTATTGATTACAATAAACAATTTTAAAGACAACAATTAGCAACAATTATACTTTACCCAATATCTTTCATACAAACCCTAGTCCAATTTCATCAAACATAAATTTACAAAAACGAAATTAATAAAAAAACCAAACCCTAGATCTAGATCTACATGCACATGAAACATCCATAAAACTAACTAATTGTTCACTAAAATCAAGAAACATGGACCAAATAAGGGTATGATCTTGTTTCCCTCCCTAATTTACCCTAGTACATTTAAAACTTAGGTCTAATTTACTTCATAAGTAGCTCAAGCACCACAGAAGAGAGAGAAAAACAAAACTCTAATTACTCACTAACCAACCATTAAAACTTCAAAAAAAGTGTGTAATAACATTTTCTTACCTTCTACAACCTCTCCATCAAAGGATTTGAGACCAAAACCTTTTCCCTTAATAAAGCAATTTCTGGGAGGTGCCCAAGGCCTCCCCACCTTTCTTTCACGGGTTGGAGTGAGTGACCCGAGGAGAAAGAAGGTGCTGCAGCTGTTTTATATGTGGGTCATTTATAGGGACGGCTGGTGATTGAGCCGTCCCTACAAATCAGACCCCATTTATAGGGGCGGCTGGTGTCTAGACACCCGAGCACGCCACTGTAGGGGCGGCTTCATCACTAGCCGCCCCTACAAAAAATTTAAACCGTTGCTAAAAATCGTTTTTTACGTGGTGCGTGTTTCGTTCAGGTTAGACAGTGTAGCAATGCAGTCCTGACGGAGGCTGAAGTGTTCTGGCGCACTGTCCTGCCCGATTCTCCGCTCCCGGAACCCATCCTCAAGCTCCTCCATCCTGGTCAGTCCATTACTCGCTTTAATTAATATCTCAAAACTATGATTATAATACAAAAAAAGGTTGGAACATTCATGACTATATATATGGCTGATGCTCACGGCTGGTCTACATACTTTACGGTGCAGAGACCAGCTTTGTAAACAAACCAAAGGATGATACGGTTGCTGAAGCGTACTCCCTCACATGGTTAATGTGGGGGCTTCGCTCCCCCTCTAGACCGAAGCACTCGTCTCCCAGGCCATCAAAGGATGATACGGTTGCTGAAGCCTACTCCCTGACTTGGTTAATGTGGGGGCTTCGCTCTCCCTCTGGACCGACGAAGCATTCGTCTCCCGGGCCATCCCGTGACCGTGACCACAGCACTGACGAGTATCTGGCCCAGGGGCTCTTCTTCCATGAGGAGGTAGTGCAAGTAGGCAAGACCATAACCCTTTGGCAGCCAGTGCACCGCTCGGGCTATTGCCGCGTCATGTGGCGGACTCCATTCCATTCTCGACGTCGTCTCTGCCAAGAGCCGTCGCTCAGCTCGGTATCGCCAGGAACTCCGTGCAGGCAGCCAACATGGAGGAGACGCTATACATGTGTGGCCTGCCACCAAAGTCAGGTGAGGCCAAATTCTGGGCTACGTCGCTGGAAGCCTTGGTCGAGGGTTCCATGGCGGCGCATCGCACCCGCAACATCCAGCCGCTGACCTCCGACCTACCCTGCTCAGGGGCACCTAAGCAACCGTACACCGTCCGAGCAGTACACCCGGTGGACGGATCGAGCTTCGTGTCATGCCACGACCATAACTATCCGTACACTGTCTACATGTGCCATAACACGGCCTCGACGAGGGCGTACATGGTTGAGATGGAGGGTGCCCGTAGTGGCCTTGTCGTCACTGTTGCTGCTATTTGTCACACTGACACGTCCCACTGGGACGCGGAACATTTCTCCTTCAAGGTCCTCGGCACCAAGCCTGGTGGCGCACCAATCTGCCACTATCTGCCGTATGGGCACAACGTTTGGGTCAACATGGAGGCAAATCGCTCGTCATCCTAAGAAACTGCACCCTGTCGTCCCAGCCAAGATTGAAAGTCTATGTTGTTTGTGCGTCTATCTTGCAATGCAATCTTTAATTTGCATCCATGTGCCATATTGTTTTTCATATGTACCGGCCCACTGCTGTAGATTGTACTCCCTGCAACGCCTAGCCAGCAGATCAGAGTAGGGTACGGTCCATATGTAATAAGGGCAGCTTGTGCTCGTTTTCATTTACCCAGTATATATCTAATGTTATTTGTTCCTTCGTTTAAATCAACAACATGCTATGCATGAGTTAGGACGCCGATATTTGGACTAGAGTTCGAGACGGGAAGCAAGAGGGGATTCGGGAGCAGGCCGATAGATGCTTATAGTGTTAAGGATTTTGTTACAAGAAATTTAAATATAATAAAGTACCCACCCCTACATATATATGAAAGGTAATTTAAAATAATTATATATAATTACATATAAATTAACCACCTCTACCGTTTTGTAGGATTATTTAAATTAATCTATGAATTTTTATTAAATTTACCCACATATGTCATTACGAAAGATAATGCAATGTAATCTCTAAATTAGCATCTAAAAGGAAATCATTAACAAATACTCCAAGTTGTATCTAGATTAACCACCTCTGTCATTATATAAAATAAAGAAAAATATCCCTCAATTTAAGTTTGCATATAGATACTAATATAAACTTTCATAGCAATTTAATGACAACCATAAGGTATGCAATATCTGTTTCTAAATTACACAGCAGTTAACTAAATATAAGTATAATCCTACGTGCCTCCATGTACACTAAGTAACATGAATACATCGGATAAATATTTATTTTAGTAGTGTATCAAGCGTTTCAAAAGTCTCCTCACTAGTAGAGCAACGACCTTTGATCCACTTCGAAATTTGGCTGTAGTCCCGATATTTGTCGCGCCCGGGACTAGAGAAACCTTTAGTCCCGGTTGGTAGATCCAACCGGGACTAAAGGTCCCTGCCCAACGGCTACTGCGTCAGGCTTTTGCTGGAGGGGACCTTTAGTCCCGGTTGGAGCTACCAACCGGGACTAAAGGTTCACTTTTACTCCCGGTTGGTCCCTCCAACCGGGAGTAAAAGTCTACTCCCGGCTGGAGGCTCCGTCCGGGACTAGAAAGGGATCTTTAGTCCTGGCTGTAGACAGCAACCGGGACTAAAGGTCCCCTCCTATATACCCCTTGTTGCTCCCCAAGCCCGAGCCACTTCGAGCTCAGTGTTCTTGCTTCATCGTCGGCCTCTCTTCTTCTTCATCACCGGTGATCACAAGATTTCTTTCATTCCTCCATCGATTCTTCGGTTCTAAAGGTTACCAACTTTATACTCTCATGTTTCATCAGTAGGTTATTTCATTTTGTGGACTAGATATATGTGGTCTTTTTATGGTAGATTTTTTTATTTGTAAGTCATTTAAGCTCAAAATCATTTTAAAGTTTGCATATTTGGATGAAGGAAGGTTAAAGTAGTTATTCAAAACTAGTATTGAGCTTTCATTTCTAGCATGCATAGCACACTTCATGCTTTAGAGATATAGAGAATTTTAGAGTTTTTTTTAATTTTATTTGTTTATAAAATGAGAAATTTATATTATATTAAAAATGAGTATAGAGAGTAGATGGCAACTACTTCCGGGTCCTCGACCTCTCATCGGGTTACAAAGCGACTGAGGCCGGACCTCTCTCTCATTGCATGCGGCAAGTGTGAGGAGAAGATTGTGATGGAGTATCGGGTGAGGAAGGAGTGTCCCAACAAGGACCGTATCTTCTACAAGTGTTCGGATCGCAATGTGAGTTATTTTGTCGCATTTGGTGATTATGGTTAATTTATACTTATTTTCATGATGATTGTGATTAAAGTTCTAATTTTTTGTTTTAATTTCAGTGGGATGGCACTGGATGTTCAGGCTGATACTGGGAGGAAGAGTATGTTGAACACGTGCAAAACTCTCTTGCACAGGCAGCTAAGGCGGCTGATGAGACAGTGATCCTGCGGAGGAAGCTCATAGATATTGAACAAACGCATGATCCGTCTGTTTTAGTTGGAATTGGTCGCGAAATCCTTATGCTGCTGAAGTGCATTTTAGCTTTAGTTTTTTTAGTGGTAATTGGAATTGTCTACATTGTAGCGAGACTTTAATAAATTAATACCTTGTGTGGTGGCATGCATGTCGTATAATTAACTAATTATGTTCTAGATTTTAATATGGTATGTATGTCATGTAATGCAGATGAGCCGGCATTGGATGTACAATGCTGATCGCCGCTCCCAAGAGTTCATTGAGGGCGTGCATTCTTTTTTACGTGTGGCCGAGGCAAACAAATGTGATAGTTTCATGTGCTGCCCATGTGCCATATGTAAGAATTTGAAGGAATATGCTATCTCAAGGAGTCTTCATTCACATTTGTTGAAGTCGGGTTTCATGCCAAACTATATTTGTTGGACGAAGCACGGAGAAACCGGGGTTATAATGGAAGAAGGTGAAGAAGAACAATGGGACGATGATGACATTATTGCTGAATATGGGGCCTTCAATGATACTGCAATGGGGGAAGCTGAAGAAGAGGTAGGGGTAGAAGATGAGCCCGTTGATGATCTTGGTCAGGCCATTCGTGACGCGCAAAGAGAATGCGAAAGTGAAAAGGAGAAAATCAAGTTCAAACGCATGCTAGAGGATCATAAGAAATTGATATACCCAACTTGTGATGCGGGGTAGAAAAAGTTGGGTACCACACTGGAATTGCTGCAATGGAAGGCAAAGAATGGTGTATCTGACAAGGGATTTGGGGAGTTACTGAAAATCCAAAAGAAGATGCTTCCGAAGGATAACGAATTGCCCGCCACTACGTACAAAGCAAAACAGGTAGTCTACCCTTTGGGATTAGAAATCCAGAAGATACATGCATGTCCTAATGACTGCATCCTCTACCGTGGCGAGGAGTACGAGAAGTTAGATGCATGCCCGGTATGTCATGCATCGCGGTATAAGATCAGACGAGATGACCCTGGTGATGTTGAGGGCGAACGTCCCACGAAGAAAATCCCTGCCAAGATTATGTGGTATGCTCCTATAATACCACGCTTGAAACATATGTTCAGAAACAAAGACCATGCAAAGTTGTTGCGATGGCACAAAGAAGACCGTAAGGTAGACAATATGTTGAGACACCATGCTGATGGGTCCTAGTGGAGAGCAATCGATAGAGAATTCCCGGAGTTTGCAAATGACGCAAGAAACTTAAGGCTTGCTTTAAGTACGGATGGTATGAATCCTTTCGGGGAGCAGAGCAGTAGTCATAGCACTTGGCCTGTTACTCTATGTATCTACAACCTTCCTCCCTGGTTATGCATGAAGCGTAAGTTTATTATGATGACAGTGCTCATCCAAGGCCCAAGGCAACCTGGCAACGACATCGATGTGTACCTGAGGCCACTAGTTGAAGAACTTCTACTTTTGTGGAACAGACCAGGTGTACGTGTGTGGGATGAGCACAAACAGGAGCACTTTGACCAGCGAGCATTGTTGTTCGTACCAATCAATGATTGGCCTGCTCTAAGTAATTTTTCAGGACAATCAAACAAGGGATATAATGCATGCACGCACTGTTTCGATGACATTAAAGGTATATTCTTGAAAAAATGTCGAAAGGTCGTGTACCTTGGCCATCGTCGATTTCTTCCTATGAATCACCCCCTAAAAAAGAAAGGCAAGCATTTTAAAGGTAAGGCAGACCACCAGACCAAGCCAGGCAACCGAACTGGTGAGGATGTACTCAATATGGTCAAGGATGTGAAAGTAGTATTTGGAAAGGCACATGGTAGCGAACCTATTTCGAACGACGCCGACGGTCACACACTCATGTGGAAGAAGTCCATATTTTGGGAGCTACCCTATTGGCAAGTCCTAAAGGTTCGTAGCGCGATCGACGTGATGCACCTGACGAAGAATCTTTGTGTGAACCTGCTAGGCTTCTTAGGTGTGTATGGGAAGCCTAAGGACACACTTGAAGCACGACAGGACCTGCGGTGTTTGAAAGAACGAGACAACCTGCATCCAGAGAAGACAGATGATGGACGCCATTACTTAAGTCCTACCAGCTACACTCTTAGCAAAGAAGAGAAGGAAAGCATGTTTGAATGCCTAGCAAGCATCAAGGTACCATCTGGATTCTCCTCGAATATAAAGGGTATAATAAATGTGCCAGAGAAGACATTTCTAAACTTAAAGTCCCATGACTACCATGTGCTCATGACACAATTGTTTCCCGTTGCATTAAGAGGAATTCTACCTCCAAATGTATGTCTAGCCACCGTGAAGCTATGTGCATTCCTCAATGCAATTTCTCAGAAGACAATCGATCCAATGGATCTAGCTAAACTATAGAATGATGTGGTTCAATGTCTTGTCAGCTTTGAGTTGGTGTTCCCTCCTTCCTTCTTTAATATCATGACACACCTCCTAATTCACCTGGTCAAGAAGATTAGCATTCTCGGTCCTATGTTCCTACACAACATGTTCCCCTTTGAGAGGTTCATGGGAGTCCTAAAGAAATATGTTCACAACCATGCTTGGCCAGAAGGAAGCATCGCCAAGGACTATGGAACAGAGGTGGTCATTGAGTTTTGTGTTGACTTTATTCCCGACCTTGACCCGATTGGTGTTCCTGAATCGCGACACGAGGGGAGACTAAGTGGAAAGGGGACACTAGGGAAGAAACCATATATTGGTATGCAGGACAATTATTTTAATAAAGCACACTACACAGTTCTACAAAACTCCTCTTTGGTGGATCCATATATCGAGACACATAAAGAGTTGCTTCGATCCGAGTTTCCGGGGAAGTCTGAAGCTTAGATTACGCGTCAGCATATGGAAACTTTTAGTGACTGGTTGTGAAAAGAATGTCAAGGTGATGAGAGTATTGATGAGCAACTCTATTTGTTGGCTAGGCAGCCATCGTGGCATATCCTCACATACAAAG